GACACCTGCAACGAATCGATTTTCCATACAAATTGAAAAACTAACCAAGAAAAATGAAAAATGTTAATTTTCAAACAAGCAGAAAACAAGCCCTTTTAGAATAGTCGGTTTTGTTTACAACACTTTTTTAAAGTTTGAATTTTTTAACTAAATAAAAAGAGAAATCTGTTTTAATTTACAAATTAAAGCTCATGAGATTAATGCTTAAATTTAATTTATCTTATGTCTAAAACTGATCCAAACAGTCTTAAAAAATCTATTAACTAAGTGATCTCGAATGTTTCTTTGCTCGAATTGTTATAATAATTAAAGAAGTGTTCTCCCTTTCTCATGATAAGCAACCCTTCTTTTTTCGATCGCATCATATGTTTTAAGAGTTTAAACTCTCTTGTTTGCAAGTTACCGTGTTTTTGGCCCCGACATTACTGGATCACAATTAATTTTTAGAAAAATTGTACAAGGGATCAAATCCTCTTTTCAGGAATGTATGTTAAAGCGGCTAAATAAGGACATAGAGTCTTTAGCCATTTTACACTTTGGGCCTAATAAACGATCTAGAGCCAGCATACTAACATTCAGTTTTTTAACATTCAGTTAAAACGGAAAAAGCATACAAGACTATACTGTTTTTTTTTTTGCGAGATACTGTGAATTACCAAGTTTACAAACTATAGATCAAGCTTGTGTAGAGAGAATTTACGTAGAATGATAGAGTTATTTCAACAATGTTGATTTTATCAATCTGAACCGAGTAATCGTAAAGGACACAAATCACTATAGATTACGAAAGAACAAACTGATTTCAATACTCTTTTTACAAACAATAAAAAAGCTGGAAAATTATGAAAATTTCTTAGTTTCGATGTTCTTTATGTCATGGAGGAGGTTTGTACTGGGATTTAAGAAATCATAATTTATTTTTAGCCTTTGGTGTGATTTTAGAAATATTTCTTCTATCAATATTATGGACATTACATACCGTGTTCTACTGTTAAAACCTAGTTTTAATGTCCTTCATTTTATTATTGTGGGAAAACTTGAACAGTTCCTTTATCTTTCCATATGTTTTGATTGTTTCCTCTTGTAGTGGTCGCAAAATATGTAAAATTGCAGAACATTTAAATGTTACAACCTTGATAAAAGTTGTCAGAAAATTCAATATGAATAAAGCAGAAAAGGTCAGTTTTTCACACATAGTATATTCACAACTTATTCAGACTAATTGCTCAAAATCTACTGTAAATAGATAATATTGTTCTTTCATCCAATGAAAATCATTCTTTACAGTCTTTACAGAGTTGTTCACAATGCTTCTACCGATGCTATTTTTACTGAATCAAAAGGTTTAATCTATGTGCTCAACGAGAGAGTTTTACATKAACATTGTCGTCCGTCATGTAAAGAACATGTCTACTCTTACAAGAACCAGTTACTCTGGTTGTCTGATCTCAGATAAATCACTAGAGTATTATGTTAGTATCGGCTACTTGACCGATTCTGTCCGCCACACTTGGATCATCCTTTCGGTCGTCAACAGCATTGCTTCTCCACTGACCATCGTGATTAACCTGTTAATCATTTGGACGGACACGAATCTGAGAAAAGTCAACTACAACATCTTGCTTGCTGCTCTGGCAGTGACTGATTTGATTGTAGGTCTTGTGGTAGAGCCTCTGTTCGCTTCTCGTCTGTTTTGTATTCTCCAAGGATGTTCAACAGCGTGTATTTTCCCCGCTTATTTCATAATGTCGGTCATGTGCGCTGGTGCTACGCTGATAATATTCATGGTGTCCAGTGTTGAGAGGTACCTGGCCATAGAACACACTCAGTTCTACCTGGAAAACGTCACAACCAAGAAAATCATTCTCACTACGGCCTTAGCGTGTTTGATCGGTTTGCCTTCGACCTTGTCTGCAAGAATACTTTTGAACGACTGCGACCGATTTAAGCAAGTACCAGTCGCAGTGGCTGTGGGTCTAAATGTTCTCATCATTTTATATTGCTCAATCAAAGTACAAGTCACCGCTTACCGTCAAAGAAGAGCCATCAACGCACAAGCAGCGACAGTACAGCTACAACAGGAAGAACAAGAAGAGCAGGAAAGGCGACTTAAGGAATACAAGCGAGCATTTACCATGGGTGTATTAGTCCTTGCATCGATTCTTCTCTACTGCCCATACATCATCAACACCATCCTACTAGCCACAATTGTTGTAGACAGGTCCAGCCTTATCTCAACTCCTGGATTTGACGTGACGTTCATCCATCTACAGTCCCTGTTGAACCCGATCATCGTATCGCTTCGATTATCTTACATTCGTGAAGGTGTGAAGAACAAGCTATGTTGTCGTGAGTAACCGTTGTTTATTGACAGTTGTTGTAGAGTAGACTCTTTTGATGACTTCTATTRGTCTGGATTGTACAACATACTTACAGATGAAGACTGATTAACCTCCTGAACTGTCAGTTGTCATAAAACTACATAATTATTCTTAGACTTTCTTGAAGAACTACAGATTTAGGTTGCTTCCTTATTGAGCTAATTGTAGCAGTAATACTATGGTCTAAAACTGCGCATGTTTTTTATGTAAATGTTTTTAAAAGCACTCTTGATGATTACTGTAATCTGATTGGGTAAAAAGTGACCGATTAATTATGGAAATARCACTTCACAAAGTTTAATTGTCATTATTATCATTAGAATTATTCTCTTATGATTGGATTCATTGTGTCACGTGAAAATAAACCTGTCATCTGTTATGATACTGCAATTGTAATCGATTTGCATCGTTCAATAAACGATTTTGATGCCATCTTATTGTTCACTATAATTTAATTTAAAATTATTTCGAGTTTTCTAATGTCGATATGATTCCATAGTGGAAAATGAGCGACTGAGTTGTCAGAGAGAACGGTGAATTTACGACTATCGATAGTTATTGTTTTCTGTCTAGTTACGCAAGGTAACAATGCTATTGTGGACTAGGTTAACATTCCATTTGATAGGCGTGGCCAACATGAAGCTCTACATTCCACGAATAATTCCTCTCACAGATAAGCATCTGATTATCTGATCTGACTATCACGTGGTTAGTATTCAACACAGGATATTCACAGCAGTATACACCCTTTTAATAAGTCCCCAAGTATCGAGTTCTCCGCACTTCACTTGACGTCAAATATATTCTTTTGAAATTTTTACAATACAAAAGGAATTCAAAAGAATAAATTTGACGTCAAGTGCGGAGAACACAATATCTCGGGACTTATTAAAAGGGTGTATACTCACAGCATAGCATAGCATAGCATAGCATAGCATAGCATAGCATAGCATAGTTTCAAAATCATTACCTCTTCGGCTTCTGAAACTGAATTCTGATAGTTTTTGTTTTTAACTTTGTCATGTTGATTTCCCATAAACCCATTCGTCAATGTTCTGGTACAAAAAAAA